GCGTAATTCTTACTTTTTGTTTTACAACTTCATTGAATTTATTGTTGCAAAGTCTCTGATCGACTTGCTGAATACTTCACTCCTGTTTGGCTGAAAGAAAAGCAACACGGAACCAAACTGAGCGCTCGTAACAGCTAAAGCAGCTCTCGACAGTCACTAGTACTCAGCATCTCTTGTGCAATAAAACCAATAATATAAATGTAGGCGTCACGGTTTTATTTTGTTATTGGCGATTAGATTAAGAACTTTATTCATTTTCATGGCCTCCACCCGAGTAAAAACCATTTCTGCGCTAATTTTCAAGCATTGATATTAACTCAGAACGATAAGAAAGGAAAATGTAGGAAAACTGAGAAACAGTAGAATAACTGACTAAACAAGTTTTCTAGAAGGCACAGTATGAACTTTGAGTGTCGCCGTGACCATTCTTGTTTTACTTTTCTGACATTAATCTCTACAGGCTAAACGATATTAAAGGGAAGGCCTCGCATAGAGAACTTGCTGATCATGTTGTTTCTACTGCTTTTTGTGTTGATAACCCTGGCTTCTGCGACCGCCAATAATGTCAGCAGCAAACCATGTGACAAGAAAGTGAGTAGCTCCCTCTTTGGTGTGTGAATTAAATTAAAGGGAAAAAAAAGGAAGGAAGAACGAGAATAGTGCAGATGATAAGAAATAACACACAGTCTGCGGTGACAAACATTGCAATAAAACGCATTTTGGAAGACAAAATTAATTGACTTGACGTTTCGTATGTTTCGACATACGTCAATTAATTCTATTTTCCAAAATGCGTTTTATTGTCATGCTTGTCACCGCAGTTCGTGTGTTATTTCTTATTAAGCTAGGATGGCCAAAGAGAAAGAGTATTTACGATAGCACAGATGATATCATCGCTTCTAAACATCGATCATTGCTGTTGACTAAATTTACGAAAACTTACATCAAGATACTTCCTGTCACTTTATTATAGCCGGGACCTTTACAGAACTCAAGGTGTTGATCTTTCTTCTGAGACAGGTCTCAATGTGTTACGGTGGACAACCGGGGACAAATGGCATTCCTGGTATGCATGGCATGCCGGGCTCCCCTGGGGCACCTGGCCGTAATGGATGTGACGGAGCCAAAGGAGACCAGGGCAGCCCGGGGAAGACTGGGTCCCAGGGACCAGCTGGTGCAGAAGGAAAGAAAGGAGATAAGGGAGAGTCTGGAGCCCACGGCCCCGCCGGGCAAAAGGGACAGCGAGGGGAGAAAGGTGAGAGTGGAATTCCAGAATCGCCTCGGCTTCCCTCGCACATAAACTGGAAAGAATGTACCTGGAAAAAGGGCGACGGCAAAGACTCAGGTGTGATCCAGGCAAGTGACTCACGGCGTGAGTGCATAATGTATTCAACAAAGTTCTGTCATTTGTCATTACTATAACTATGGGATAGAATTTAATTGTTGAACAGGTCGTAAGCTGTACGTAGGCTTTTGTCGATTGTGCTAGCACAATGTTTGGCATAATTTAGCAAATCGAGCATGATATTTAGCCTTTATGTAAATTTAGCACTGCTAGCATAATCTGGCTTTTTTTCCTTTACTAAATGATGTAATTTCGTTTCGAATATACTTCTTTTTACTTGTTCTGTTTTTAAAACTTCTGTTACTGTTGTGTTCCGGTCGCCTTGTTCTTGGTCTTAGGCCTCATGCACAAGGCTCTGTAGTGAGCTGTCTGAGCATAAAGATCTCAGATGGCGTCCTCGTCGTCCATCCCAGCACTTTCCAAGTTCCAGTTCACATAAACCAGCAGCTTACAATTTAATACAGAGACCTTCAGTCTCTTGGAAGCGTTTATCAAAACTGTGATTAAGAGTGAATTAACCCAATTCATATCCCCACCGTAGTACAACTGTACAAGGGGTCGGGGGGTGGGGGAGGTGCTGGTTGATGGAACCCCTCCCATATAATAGGTTTTCGTTCTGTTAAGGTACAAATGAATACATTTAAATAGATTAGATAGCCCCGAGCTTGCTCTACAAGGTGATACCATGTTTGTTAATTATGACATCATTTGACTCGCCATCTTGGATCCGCTATCTTGGATTTCACTATTTTCTTGAAGAGTCAAGAAATAACGGAAATGGAGGTGGCTCAAAACAGTTTTCTGTTGTTTTTTTTTTGGACTATAGAACTAGGTGCGATATTTCAGGCTTGGAAATGAACTGTTCTGAATGGCTCTACAATTCTTTTATGGTAACTTTTCACTGTACCTTTCATTGTGTTTAAGTCATAAATTAAGGTTGCACTTTTCTGTTGCATAGCAACAAACTTG